TAAGGAAAGGCTAATGCTCAAAATGTCAGCATTAAAAATCTTTGTTATGACCAATTTGCATCTTAATCAACTCAGTTGATAAAACTAAATTATCCTGTTACCCTCATCAATGCAGCATCTCAGTTTCTTCAGAATCTTATCCCTTCATACATGTGTACAACTAGCAAAGATTTGAATTTGCTAAAATGATACTTTATACTGTGATTGGTCCAGAAAACTGCCAACTTCCCCTCACATACCCAATCAGATTTGAAACTAAAACTAATTGCTGAGGGAGGTTAGTTTCTAAAGAAACTGTGTCTGTGTCAATGGGGGAGTGTTACTAAGAAGGCAATTATGGTTTTATCAACTGATTTGATAATGTAAATTAGCCGCCACCTGAGATTTTCAAAGTTGGTGTTTAGAGCGTTACCTCTTGGTCAGATGAATGTGCATCTTTAAACTAATTAGGACTCATTCACTCCTGTTTTGAATTGTTTCCCTGTGTTTTAGGCAGTTTGCCTGTTTCCTTCTCTCAGTTCCCATGATTATTTCCTTCTGATATGTTCCTCTGGTCTGATAAGCTGTTGTGATAACTTCAGTTTTTTGTTTTAAGACACTCAATCCAAATACACTCTTAATGTGTAGAAAGAGTTTTCTAAACCAGTCAAAGAATGTTGCTCAACCAATGTTATTTGGACCTTTGCACAAGCACTCAAGAATGCACATGCACCAACATGTAGTTAGCATATTAGCACTTGCGCATACCACCCACATACAACTGAAAACGTTACGTATTTGAATAATTAAACTTTGGACGCAAACTAAATGTTTAACAAGAACATGTTGTGAAGCAAGGAGAATGCAATCCTGTATGAGTGTCCAAACCCATATAAAAATTTGCTTTTAAAAGCTCAGTACTTACTCTGTTTTTAGTCCTGGACGATTTGGAGCCCTGTTTTACCCTCCGGCTAAAGGAACTGCAGATGGCAAGTCCAAGGGATCGCTTGAAATCTACACCTCACGGCCAGGGTTGCGACTATGGACAGCTGATGTCAATGGCAAGGTTTCTGCAACGCTTATGTACAAGGGCTTGACGAACGAAAACCCTCCCGGTATTACCACATTAGATCCCCCACCTCCCTGTTTAACAAAACTCCCTAAGGATTCTCAAGTGCAGTTTGGCCCCCTGAGGCTCTATCACGGGCAATTCTTTGTCACATGGGATGTTTCTCGCCTTTGGGTCCTGGATACGTCCCCTTGTGCTCTCGTGGGTTACCATGGTAACTTAGGAGATATTGTGGACGTCAGTACGGTGGGGCATGAGATCTACGTTTTGCAGCGGGGAGGGGAGAGGCTATTGATGAAGTTGTCACTGATTCCCAAACTGGCCAACCCTTTGTTGGATGTCGTAGCGCTGTTGGAGCGAAGCCTTAAGGAAGACGAAGAGGATGGTGCAAAGCCTCACCTTGAATCAACCGTTCAACACAAGGAGCTCAAATCAGCCGAGGAAATCCCGGATGGGGTTTGTATCTGGTTTCGTTTCTGTTCCCCACTTGAGTTAACTACCCACAAAGTTTCAACTGTTGCATTTTGAAGTTACGCCACGTGTTTTTTATTGTTCTTACCCTTTTTTCTGGTTCCAATTTGATTTCTTCTGTTTTAGGAAAAAGTTTCAAAGCTTCCCTTGTGTGAAACCGAACCATCGATAGCAGAAATAGAAGCAGAAACTGAATCAGCTGCACCACAGCCTGACCCTTTCAAAAAATACCAAGAGATAAGACATCAAGATTTTGGGGAAATTGTGTTCCGGAAAAACAAAAAATCCAAGAAGAAGGCCAACAAAGGTATCTTTCAAAAATATCTGCATCGCTAATTTATTGAAATGAAAGAGTACGAGGTGGCTGCAGCGCGCCAGTGGGATTACTAGGCTGACTAAAGGAAATTTAGTGGAGTCGTACCTTAGGTACTGACGAGGAGAGTTTGTTTAATAATCAAGAGCTTCCTTAGTTGATCATTTTTTTAAAATTCTTATGACTTTTTGTTTTTGATTCAGTAGTGATACAGCAAGGAGAAATTAGATACCAGTCATTCTTAAAAGATAAAGGGTTAAAGAACGTCAATATTCTTGGATGACGTCATCGAGTACCGTGCTTGTGTAATCTTCTTCTTTGATTTCTAGGCGCTGACCCTTCGCAAAGAACAGCGGATCAGGCTCACGGTGACATCGAAGATCAACTAGCTGAAAATAACACACTAAGCGGACACCCTGACTTACCTCTCCCCCCTGACCCAGAACAGAACCGCAGTGCTGTTGTTCACCCTCCTGACCCTGCGTTAAATAGATATTCAAACATCTCGTCAGATTTCGACTCTGGTGATCGGCTGAGTGGAGAAAACCAAGACTCAGAGGGAGAGGACGGGGATACTTGTACTTCGCCTCATTTGATGGTTGTTCACGTTACCAAGGAAGGGGCGCAGGAAAAACACGAAGTCCATGATGACGTCAGCTACTCGTCGTGCGTTACAAAAGAAGACGTAAGAAGTCAAAACGACAGCGTGACCATTCAGGATAGTTGTGTGACTGAGGGTGAACTTGCTGTTGATTTCGAGGGGAACGTGACATCATTAGAAAATGCAGACACGTGTGGTACCTCTCTATCATCTGCTAACATATCCGACGAAACGCTCTCGCCTGACAACAGTTTATGTATGGATTCTGTATCTCTATCGACGAGTACGATGGTTGAAGACGGTGCTGTTATTGAAGACTCCACACTGAGCCCAGAGGACTCGCTCAGCGCTGATTACTTGCAGGACATATACTCCAATACACCTGTCAATTTTTCTGACGCAACGTTTTCGGATGCGTCTGTTGAGAAATCCTCACGCTCTAAAACCCGGCTCGGAAACACTTCCGGCCTCGGATCCGCTTCGTCGCTGAAAGAAGGAAGTGATGTTCCGATGGATTCCGAAGGTACCCCTCCTGTGTACCTTGACTCCGAGGGGGCCGAAGAGCTCAGCGACACTGCCTCTTGGTCCCTTTATCTCTCGAGAAGGACCATGAGTGATGCCGAAATAGTGAACCACGAGGATGCACCAGTTCTTGAAGGATCCTTTTCCTCCACTGGTTCTGGCTCCTCGCTGTCAAAGTCTCCTGGATCCACCAAAGAAGGTCTACGCCTTCTCGCAGACAGCTGGGCGGACTACACCCCTCCAGGGCAGGGCTACGTACAGTTTGTAGCTGTTTCAGATACTCACATTTGGTGCATAACCACCCACGAAAACATCTTTTACTGCCCTACTCACTACTCTGTTGTGAATTGGACTCAGCTCGGTGGCTCGGCAAGAATGATAGCCGTCAACAACACCGGTGATGTCATTTGGAGCGTTGATCGTAGGAATTATGCGAATGCGCGTTTTGGGGTCAGCAAGAATCACTTGACTGGCAAGAAGTGGCAGCCAGTAGAGAAGGAAATGCGCTATGTGGCTGTGGACGAAACAGCAGTTTGGGGAATAAAGGTTAGTTCATTGGATATGTTTGGGAGATGCACTGGTCTTATCGTTAGTTTGCTGGTTGGTCTATAGATGGAGAGGTCTGGGTTCGAGAGCTGGCCGGGTTGTTGTGTAGACTTCTTGGGCAAAACACTTTACTCTCACAGTGCCTCTCTATTCCCGGGAGTAGGAATGGGTACCAGAAAATTGTCCGGGAAACCTGATGAAATGCTGAGTAATTTATCTAGTAGGGGACAACCTTGTCTTATGGTAAATTTACCTGCCTATGGCAAATTGTTAAATGAATACATAAATAAATGACCTTGCGACGGACTGCATAGGTTTACCAGAACCTTTTTTAGGCTTATGATGCTCACGTAGTCTATTTTTTCTCATACTTTCCTAAAAATCGTGCATGAGAAATATTACGGCAAACTCTTTGTCACATAAGGTGCACCTATGATTGAGGGTGGCTGAGAACGGAGAATGTCATCATGGATTTCAGGTGATACCAAGCGCGCTATCCTTAGTGAAGATGAGATTCGCGCTTATTTACGTGGGAGGACGTTTCCATGTTTACATAACTCATCTATACAAGGTGCGGGTTGGGAGAATTCTCAAAAATTGAACACCTTTTCTCATTCCACCTTCCCATGTTCGAGTTTAGATGAGCCCTCTTATACATGGAAAATGTTCTCTGTGGTTTAGATCAAACTCTGGGACAGAAAATAAATTTCTTCCAATTTCAGTTGAACGGCGACGTTTTTGTGAGAACGAATGTCTCCAAGGAGTGTCCCACAGGAAAAGGATGGCGAACGATTCGAGTGGACTCAAGATTCACGCAAGTATCGTGTTTTGGTGGAGTGGCGTGGTTCTTGGACAGGGAAAACTTCATCCATGTCTACAAAGGTGCTGTACTAGAGAAATATCTCTGCTATGTCGAAAACAACTCTTCTTCAGCTGAAAAGAGTTTTTTAAACTAGGACCAGTTTGTTAGGGAACGACGAAGTAGGGTGCACATTTGTCGGAACGACACTGTTTATGATTTTCTCGAGCCTTGTGTCGTAAAGGGTTTGTTAGGAGTTCGTTAATAACGCCCAGAACAAATACTGTATCAAAACAAAACAAAACAAAAACAACCCCAGTAACTAAAACCTTAACCTGTATCATTTTGTCGTGATATTAGTGCAAAGGAGTGTCAAGCTGCACTCAATGTACAGTCCATCCCTTAAGTGAGGAAAAAGCAAAATGTAGTTCAAGTAGGAGCGCGTCCCTCTGTGCCTCTGTTTCACGACGGACAGAATTGCATGTTTATCAAACTTTAGCCAGAAGGACCCTCTCATCAAAGAAATAAGAGCCATTGTCAATGCGTCAAGAAGGGCTTACAATATATTGTTGCCCTCTCGGAGCAATAAAGAGCTCGCGTAGGTTGAAGACTAAGTACAAACATTAAAAGATGGGACATTCGGAAGGTGAAATAGTAAACAAAAGAAGAACCGGAGTGGACTGGGTAGAGAGGATGAACACTTATTTCAAATGGTTCCCCTAAAGATATAAGGCTAAGAGGCTTTCACTGTACCGTGAATAACGTTTTCTCGTATTTCCGCTAACCGCAGGAGACGTCCACTCAAATCCAGGCGGAAATGAAAACTGGGAGACACTGAATGGTAAGTTGAGATGATTCTGTGGGTAAAATATCAGTTTTGGAAAAAAATCCAACCAACAATTGTACGGACAAGTGTTAGTTTTGGTTTCATTCTTTCCCTCCCGGCTTTTTCATTTTATATACTGCCAATGTGTTTGTCTGTTTGTTTGGTTAGTTGTTTTTCTGACATTAATGCATTCAAATATTGTAAATGTTTGTAATAAGACTTTGACAAACTCACTCGCTAAGACTCGTGTTAACTATTCGCGGGCCAGGACAAATGTCATATTGTAACTGAGAAAGGTAAAGGTAAAGATTGATTATTTCAAAACGGCTATTTGATGAGGTCCTATAGGGAATTGTATATTCTCAGGTTTTCAAGCTGCCACTTAGTTTTTATTTGCCTACCTGTTACTTTCAGATGTTTCTGCTAAGTGGGTTTGCCTTGGAATACAAGGGGTAGCGTGGATTGTGGATACGAAAGGCTGCATTTGGTTCACTAACGTGACCAGTGAAAATCCAATGGGTGGCACTTGGTATCAGGTTTCCCTCGGCCAATACCTGATGCAAAACCGCACCTTACTTGAAACGCTCTGGTCCTGGGTTCTACGAGATGACGTCAAGCTTTTGACTGCGAGCCCTAAAGCAGGGGTCTGGTTATTAGGGAGTGTAGGCTCTCTGCAGGCCTCGCACGGTCACTTGCTAGGGGCTCGTTGGGATCCTGTGATACCACAAGGAATTGCTCAGTCTGTGTTCTGGTCCCACTTGTCTACGGGCTCATGCAAAGGTGACAAAGGTCACGTGTGGGCTTTACAACCCAATGGGGAGCTTATTTGCTTCCAATTGGGGAACCGTCCTGTTACTGTCGAACCACCTCGTGGCAAAGTTTTAAAGCTAATTTCAGCGTCGGGTTCTAGCCTGTGGGGCGTAACGCACAACTTCAAAGTCGTGCAACGCTCAGGAATCTCGGACGCATATCCACAAGGGGTAAGCTGGCTTGAATCGAGACTTTCCCTGTTCGGTGTTGGTAAAGTTTTGCACCTCAGCTGCGGAGCACTGAGCACCTGGGCTGTTGATGACGCAGGAAATGTCTTTTTACGGATAGGCAAGGAGGACTCTTCGGACCCATCTGTTACTCAGGCGTGGATCCCAGTCGAAGGTGCTCCTCTATGTGGCTGTCGATTCGCTAAGATCGCTGTAAGCCCGTCGGATCGCGTGGTCTGGGCGGTGGATGATCGGAACAATGTTTACGCGCGCCATAATGTCACACCAAGCTTCCCTATAGGTACTGCGTGGGAAGTTGTCCCCGGCACGGGTGTGCGAGACGTGGCCATCAGCGAACACATGGTCTGGGCGATTTGTCCCAACGGGGACATCGTGTGTCGGTACGGGGTCAGCGAAGACAACTGCTTGGGGCATTACTGGAAGAAAGTCCCTGGGAATTTTGAGCTTATCTCGGTGACTCCCGATGATGAACTCTGGGCCATCGATCAGAACGGGCAGCTGTTTCTGCGCAAAACGCAGCATTTTTATGGTACCCAGTCTCCGTTTAGGCCACGAACATATAGCGCCATATTTTCTGGTGAAGAGGACTGGGAGTTTATATAATGTGTGTGAAATGTGATCAAGATGTAACGAATTCCTCAAGTTAAAAATTCGCGTTTTTATGCGAAATTATGACGTTAAAAAAAATTTTTAAATTATTTCATAGATTTCAGATTGTGTAGAATATAAAAAGCTACACAGAAATGTAAAATTTCACAGTTATAACCGTTAATTCAAATAGGTTTTTAGTGGAAACTTAGACTATCATTTTGTGATGAAGTGTTAATTCGAAGACTGCAATCAAATTTACTCAATTTTAAACAATCCAGTGTTAAACGTATTCAACTAAAGGTTCAATCAACCGTCATCTCCCTGGTAATAAAAGAAAACAAGTTACGACTGACAAGTAGCCACCCCTTTCGAGAACTGAACTGCTCTTCATTTCTTAAAAATAAATGGTGTTTGGAAATATCGTAGAAAGGTTTACATTGTGTTTCAAGAGATGTTACCATGTGAAATTTATCTTGAAGTAAATCTTTTTGATTAATTTTCTATGAAAAATCGATGTTTATTTTTTGTATCTCTTTGAACATGTGTTGTTTGTAGAAATAGTGTTAAAGGGCTAAGGTTGAAAACCTGCCGCAGTTTTGACATATTTGGGTTTTTTAGACGGTGCATTTAGCTTGTGAAACTGCTGCACTTGGAAATCTTCCTCGTGCCTCGTAGTCATTAAATTTGGTCAATTGTACCTCAGTTCTCTGGTGGGGTGGCAGTCCTTGTATTTGCTGATGCTGTTTAACTAGCTTTTCAACAAACCCCAGTATAAATTGAACTCAGAAAAATATAAACTTTTTCTGAATTTTTGCAGTTCTTTGGTAGCTCAGCCTCCCTAATCGGAAAAGAAGCTGAAAAAACTCACAAGCACAATAGAAACGCAACGAAATGGCAGATATAAAAAAAACGGTGTTTTCTGAAGGCACCCTCATAACACTGAAGCGTCACGTAAGCACTGAAAAAGAATAGCGACGGTTTGAAAACACCGTACATCGAGCGAGAGAAGTAAAATGACGAATCTCTTCTTATTTGGCCCTTTAATTTTCTAATTCATTATCATCTACCAGGATATTCTGGACTGAAATCTCGAATTTCTTTGTAGCAATAGAATTCAATGCAGGTATTCTTATTGCCAGTGGCAGACAAGTAGGGTTAAAAGTCGAAAAGAAAAGTTTCTAGGAGATAGAATAAATTTGAACCTTCTATTTTCATTAATTCGAAATTTTCAACACTTGCATTTTTCAGGAGGCTTTTTGACGTAAGCTCTCTCCAATCCATCCATCTCGTTTTCACCGTTACTCTAGAGTGTACAAGGAACTGGACCTAGTTAATTCCAAGATGGCTTCCATGGATGAGATTCGAACAAGAGTTAGTCTGCGAGAACACGATGTCATAAACGTAAGCCTAGAAGTTTTGTAGTGGTATATATTTTTCCTAGTACATTATTTCGGATCTTACCAGATGCTTTGTTCTTTTAGACGCATAGCACCGACTTCCCTGGTAATTACCCTGGCTATGATGACACGTGGAGCCAGGAGAAGTTTGAAGAGGTAAATTATTCTTCGCGTGCCTTTTGCAACAAAATATTTTATTTTGTTTTGATTATTTTTATCGCAACTGCAGAATGCTCAGTGAACTGGTTGAATTTGCAAAGGGTAACATTTAAGAGACAGGGCTACTTGTTTATTTCTTATCGAGTTGCATCTGTGCCAAAATAATTGATGCCAGTAAGGTGTTATTCCTCTTTCTTAAAACTGCCCACAAACACTGGACGTGAGTTGATAATTGGATTCTTTAGTTGCTCCTTTATTTGGCCTTTTTCATCTTTATTTATCAATTTCTTTTGTTTTAAAACATCCTTACTCCCTGAGATTGTTGCACGGTTTTGTGTACAATGTACTTGACTTAGTTAAGTGCAGTATCATCAAGATCTCATTTGCGGACTTCCCGTTGGTTTTCTGTCATTCTTGTCGATAATGTTCCTTTAGAAGATTTTTGTCACACCTTTTCAAATGTTCCTGCAGATAAGCCACACCCCAAATTTCTAGCGACGATTTTTATAAAAAAAAAAGTGCGGCTCATACGTGGGCTTTTACAGTAATTGGTCTCAAAATCCTGTTCCCATTATTTTGCTAACTTGTCATTGGGAGGCTGTACCAAGCTTCACATTTACAATAACTGTGAAATGCAGGACTAGGAAATATAACATGGCAATTCAAATTGCTAGAAACAAGATTTTGTTTAAATCCCTTTACTTGTTAGGGACAGCACTGATACTCAAGATAGGCACGAGCTCATTCAAACCTTTGCACCGAAAAGATGAGTTTTGAACAATATGAAATGATTAAAAGAGCATCACCTATCAATTAAACCATTCTTTGCCTTACACAACATGTAAGGCCAAAATACAGGCACTGATCACCTCTTTCTCAGCTGGCAAATTTTGTAAGTGTAATTTATTTCAGTCTGTTGATCACTGAACCTGAACACATTGATCCCAAACAGATGTTGATCACCTCTTTCTCAGCTGGCAAATTTGGTAGGCAATGTCTGGGGGCTTTGCAACAACGCCTCTCATGATTCTTACTTTATTTGTTTTCTTCATCTGAAAAACAGGACAATGCTGTGGTTGGAGATGACTTTATGAATCAAATTCAGCCAATTGCTGCCTATGTACCGTACATGACATGTCCTGGAAATCATGAATACGCTTAGTAAGTTGTCCTTGAAATATCTCTATTGTTAGATTATTTTTATTTCTTTTATCCATGTACATTTGATATTAATGCATGTGTATTTGTTTTCCTCATAGCAACTTTTCCAACTACAAAAACAGGTTTTCAATGCCAGGAAATACTGAGAACATTTACTACAGGTAAAGAGTCCTGTACACTAATTATTAAAAACTGGATCATTGGATAATGCAATTCAAGACTTTATTGGCTCAGCCATTATGGTAATTATGAGCCAGTATACCATAACCTAATATCTGTACATTGTAACATACGGTTTCTTCTTACAAAATAAATTTGAGAAGATTTGTCCAATATCTTGGGGTCGTTTTTTTAATAAAACAATTATTCCACTCACGCTTGTTGGATATGAGATGATTATAGCAAACTTGGTGCTACACGCCTCGTTGGCTATCTATCATCTCACATCCAGTGTGCGCTCGTGGAATAATTGTTAAATAAAGTTAACTTGCTGATGACTTATTTGTGACTTATTCTTGGGTTTTTATGAGAATATGGCAGATCATCGCCTCTGTGCAGAAAATGTGTGATGTCTTTGATACTGTACAACATTTTTGCAGTGTTTAAATTCCAACTCTGCACACTGGTGATGACTTGTTTTTCAGCACATGCAAA